GGAGGAGGAGGAGGAGGAGGAGGAGGAGGAGGAGGAGGAGGATGGCTTCTCACCTCCCATGGGATGTTGCCCCACATCAGCACCCAGCCTGCCTCTGCTCTGGCTCTGATTCCAGCACAAGGGAGGTGCAGGAATCCAAAGCCGAGAGGAACACTGGAACACTCCCTTTTAGCATGGTCAGTTATTTAGGTTTAAACAGCTCCAGAAACTCCACCCCTGATTTCTAAGGAAGGGGTCTGCAGCAAGACCAGCAATATTTGAGCATTTGCATTGTGAGGACAGAAATGAGATAACCTGAGGAGCCCAGAACTCCTTCCCTGGTCAGTCCTTGCACGGCGCCGCTGCGGAGGCACTCGTGCTACAGCATGTCAGAGAGTCATGTTTACTCTTTTAATGAGAGAATTAGAAGGGACATTTGGCAGGGACCTACTGCCTCATGACTGCCTGCAGAGGAATATTTCTGCATCTTGTTAAAAGATCATGATTAAGTCCACACCTGATTTATCCCAATCTCTTTTTTCCTCTATTCCTGTTCTCTGCGAGCACTCATATCTGCTGACATCTCTGGACACTCTGGGCAGGGGCAGCTGGGCAGCTGTGCCCGGAGCCAGGGCTGGGCAGTGCAAGGGGATCCTTGCATGGCAGAGCCTTGGACCCTCAGCGTGATAGAAAAGGGTTTTGCGGGTCTTCCAACAGACAGCAACACAATAAACATCCCCAAACTTGTCTGCTACAACAAAACAGTTTTATTACAGAAAAGCTTCCAAATTGAAAATGATCAATGTGCTTTTAGGAGCCTGTGGAGATGGATCACCTGTACTGCTAGAATCTGCTCTCTCCTCCTCCCTTTTCAACCAAGGAAAATCATAAGAAAGAGGGGCAGGAGGAAAACAATTCTACAGGAATTCCACAGCTTTGCTCTCCTGACAGCATCTTACCAAAATGATGTTGTTGTTTGCCGTTCCATTGTTTATCCTTGTCACTGTGGGTTTAGGGTTTTTTCTGTCCAGGTTTATTCATGAAACACTAAGCAAAAGAACCTGATTGTTTGTGTCTCACCATACAGGGACCTAAAGAGTGACCAGACATTGGCAGAATTTGCATCCAGTGCCATGGGCCACACACGCCCCTGCTCCTGGCGTGCAGCACAGAGGCTCAGCACGGCCTCAGACACCTGCCCAGGGCCAGCCCTGACACAAGCAGGAGGGACCGAGGCTGGCCTTTTCCTGTCTCTGAGCTCCCAGAAAACAGGGGATGCAGCATCAGCAGTTGCACTGAGCACTTACAGACAGATGGACCAGAGTGCTTTCAGAGGAACCCAGGCAGCCCACAGACTCGGGGCTCCAGGCTGCTCATCTAACCTAGTGGCTGTTTGAGCCACTAAGTCTTAAACGCAGGAAACAAAACATTCCTTTTCCCTTGGCAGGAGCATCTTCACATTTTAAAGCTGTTATATCAGCCTCCCCTGCTGTTACCATAAAATTTGTACCTAGGACCCAAAAGACAGGACAGACTAGAGCTGTACTTCTGCTGACTCCTCTGTTCAGAAGTATGAGCAGCCATTCTAGAAGTGGTATCACATTTGCACCAAAAGCCTCCCAAAGCTGATTCCCAGCCTACATTTACCTTCATAAATAAGTGTAGAGAATCAAGTTGCTAGCTTCTGATCAAACACCACACCAGACTGGCCCAAAATAGCACTTTCCCCTAGCAAAGGGCTCCCACTGTTTCATTGTTCATTCATTCCTGTAGAAATAATCCATTTTTTTTTGTATGAGTGTGCTGGAATGGCTTGAGGGGTGAGATGGGTTCCTAAAGAGCCCAACCCTGTGTGATTCCTAGTCAGTGCTCTTGAGAAGGAACAGGTCAGGTGCTAATCCTCTCTGTTTCGTGTGCCACAAAAAGCAGCATTTGACACCTCAAGGGCTTGCCCTGAATTTCTGCAGCAGATGTGCAGCCAGCTGCAGCAGGACACGAGCTGCACACCTGGAGAGCCTGGCCAGGTCTCACCATGTCAGACATGCCCCCAGCCTGCCTCTGGCATGAGATCCACCCATCTGCGCTGAGCACTGTTTAATTCAAAGGGTGTTTTAAAGGATGGGATTTTAATGAGCACACAGCTCAGACCAGGAACACTGTATTTCTTTCTCCTGAGTGATGAAGTGAGCACTTGGACTCTTTGCATTGATTTCTAATCTGCTATTTCATACTCTGAGAGTGAGCCCTGGAAACCACATTCTCTCAGCTGCTCTTTGAGGGTTTCTGTAAGAGCAGCTGAGGCTGTCCAGGCCTAAAGGGAGAACCCAAATAACAGAGTTCCAAACTTTGCTCAGCCCACAGCTCTTCAGCCTGGCCAACCAGAGTAATAATAATAATAACAATAACAAGAACAATCATAATCATAGTAGTAATGAGAGAAGATGTGCAGACTTTGATGCAAAGGAGCTCAAAGTGGAGTGTAGGCAAATTCCACCTTCCCAGGGCAGGCAAAATGTTTGGAAGAGAGGAAGTTAAAAGCGCGTGGATATACGAATGAGAAAGGCAGAGGCACAGGCTGAGCCGCCCTCAGAGCCTTTCCCATTCCCTGTGTGCACGGGGCTGTGCTGGGCAGAGCCTGCCCGTGGCTCCCCGAGTGACCGGCAGGAAAGCCCAGCACAGTCACAGCCATTGCATCGGCTTTCTGACAACCAATGCCTGGAATTAAAGTGACAAAAATCTTCTTTCCAGATGCAGAGGAGACCTTTATTATTTGATCCTATACGGCAAAGGCTTATAGCTTTTTTTCATTGCAGTCACTTTTGTTTCAGAGGTCTCGAAACACACCCTCCTCTCCTTAAACACACAGCACCGGGGATTTAATTGCTGGCATCCTGACAAAGTGCATCCCACAGATGCTGATGCCTACTGCCTGCAGTCCTCTGACCACGTCCCAGCCACCCTCACGCCGCCCACTACTGCAATTTCTGTGGAGCCAGAAATATTCTTTAGACTCATGGCTGCTGTGAAGCCAGAGCTGTAAAGTCAGATCTTTTCCTCCTTTAAATGTGACTGGCTATTTACTCCCTAACAATTCTGCTTCAGAGCTGATTTAGCATTTTTATTGGAATGTGAAAGCTCTTAAAAGAAGAAAAAAATCTAATCAGGCAGGAGAGATAGAAAACTTGCTGAATTTTTTCTCCCCCCTTTGCAGCCCTTCAATCCTATCAAAAGCACATCTTCCATTCATTGCTTCCCCGTGTCATTATGACAAGCGGCTACAAATCAATAGCGGCGGCAGGGGCGGCCCCGCCCGGCCGTGATAAAGATTCACTCTCAGCCCCGATTTGCTAATAGCACATAATAGCAGCCATTGGCGCCCCGCATTAAATCATACATTTCACTCGGCGTTTATTATGGGATTTTTAAAACTCCTCACCAAATTGGATTTTCTCGACGGTCTCTAATTTCCACATTTATCATTTAACATTAAACTCCTCTGTGGGGAGGGGGTTGGGAAGTGGGGAAGGAAAAGAGGAGCCATGCAATTCTGTATTTTCCTCTTTCTTTTTTATGAAAACCCATAAATAATCCCAGGTATAGGTGCCATCAGCCCTGAAGTTTTATATATATAAAATACCAGAATTTAGGATAGAATAGCTTTGGGACTCAGCTCACCTTCATGCAGCCCTGATAAAGAAGAGAAAATTAAAGAGAGAGCCATAAGGAAACAGATTTTAAATAACAAATCCAATAAACAAAACAGTCAACAAAGTAAGTGTGTATGAAAAGCACTAGGGAAAATGACTGCATTTCCTAATTTGAAAGAGCAAGGAAAGATGGATCAATTTTTTTTTTTAAACCCCAACAAAACATACACAAATAAAACCTTTTTGTCTATTTATAGTTAATAGAAAATTAATTTAGCAAATGAAGGGAAAACTTAACACCAGAGGTGCTTTGCTGAGGCAGAGAACAAGAGTCCTGTGGCCCAGGTGAGCAGAAGGCTGCATCACAGCACAGGTGAGCAGGGGCTGCAGCAGAGCACAGGTGAGCAGGGGCTGCAGCAGAGCACAGGTGAGCCAAGGGCTGCATCACAGCACAGGTGAGCAGGGGCTGCATCACAGCACAGGTGAGAATGGGGCTGCATCACAGCTCAGGTGATCCCCTGAGCACTGACAGCAGTAGCAAAGGCTGGCAGGTGTAAATGCTCTCGAATCAGTGACCTCTCACAAAGCCAAAGACCACCCCAGCACGGTTTTCCCTCCTTGGAATGGCTGGTGACTTTCAGGGAATGCAATTGCTATGTTATTGACCCTGAGCACTGGCCACCGTCTGCAATGAGTCACAGACTGAGCTCTGCTGCCTTCACAGGAACCAATGTGTGTCCGCCTGTCTACAGCCACAACGTGGACTTGGCCAATGAAAAACTGAATCGCCATTTACTTACTAGAGACATCTGTTCAAAATTAGAACATCAACAATCTAGGAACACAGCAAGTGGGAAAAAATGTCATACTTTAGGGCATCCCACACAGTAAAGGACAAAGACTCCACAGACAAACATTTGCTGCACAGCAAGTTTAAGGATGTGCTGGGCTCCCATTTCCTGTTTTTCCCTACTTTTTTCTGTGGCATTGCCAGTTCAGTTTGAGGCTTCCTGCTACCATTTCCTACTTAGTTCCATACCTGCATTTGGGCACGGGAGCAGTCCCTAGGTGCTGGTGAATACACACTTTCCAATGCCTCCCACTGTTCCTTACAGCTCCAGAATCCAAGACATCCTGTGGTTTATTGATCCACCTAACCACACTTTGCCACCAATCTTCCTTACTCATGCATCAGAGTGGAAAGTGTGTGACACATCACATTCCAGCTGACCTGAAGGGTTTCCTCACCATGTGGTCACGATTCCCTGACAGCCACTCCTCCTTCAGTTGCATCTGACAGAAAAATATCCAGTATTACCAGAGTAATTCTGCAGTTCTTGAGCAGACCAAGGGAGGTGGTGATGAATGTGGGCAGGCCCTGGATCCCTGGCAGTGCCCAAGGCCAGGCTGGGCAGGGCTGGGAGCAGCCTGGGACAGGGAAGGTGTCCCTGCCATGGCAGAGGGAGCTCAGAACCTGCTCCTCTTTAGATGCCCCTTCCAACTTATCCCAGGCTGTGATTCTGTGACTTCAGAACATAGTTGCTTCTATCCTGCCCCAAAGAGATCTGCTTGTGGGGGGTGAATGTCTGAGAAAGAACAGGGAGTTATCTGTGGATGCCCTGTTTAAGCAGGTATCAGCAAGGTCTGCAGGACACCCTGGAAAGAAAACGAATCAGAAAAGACTTCTTAAGAGCACTGCCACCCAAACATGGTTTCAGCCATGGTCAGGAAATCACATCCTGGGTTCTCATGTTTGTGGTAAGAACACGGGTTCTCATTTCTCTGTTATAATCACCCAGATGCGGATATTAATGTACAAGAGAAAATCAATCTCTGCCTGTGAAAACGAAAGCGTGGATGTGCTCCCTTCCAGCTGAAAGGGGCTGCTGCTCCCCAGGTCCAAGCTCTACCTGACCTGGCCTTGCACAGGTTTCCCCAGCTCCTGCTGGGAGGGAGCTCTGATCACTGTGACCTTTTCTCTGCAGGAATTCCTTCCCCATGAAACTTCCCAAACTGCAGCCTGCACAGCAGCTTGTCTGAAACTCTTTGTGCAAACACTTCACATTTAGAGATGATGGTGTGTACAACAGCATCTCGTGCATGCTTTGCAGTAATAAAACAGATCAAGCTTTTAAGTGAACTGTGTAAAAGATTATAATAATAAAAAACACCCAAAGGTTATGGCATTAATTAAATCCTTCATAGCCCATGTAGGCCGTTTCCGTGGGACACTGAACCAGCAGCTCACTACCAGCAGTTTTTGTTCAGACTTCAGGTATTAAAACTACAGGAGACATGTGACTGTTGCATGAACACATGGCTTTATTGGTTTACATAAAAAAAAAAAAAAAGGCAAACCAAAAAAGCCCCATAACTCAAAGTATCAGAATTGGAATGGTCTCAAATCCAAAATGCTAATGCACAAAAGAGCATAGGGTCAGCAGAATTGTAGGATGACAAAAGCTCCATAAAATTTATTTTCACCCCAGCAAATAAAAGGTTTCATTAAAACAAATCAAACAGGAGTTGCACAACTGGCTTCTTGGCCAGCTGCTCCCAGCTTTGTGTCAGTGGGGTGAGGCCCAGAGCCAGCCAGGACCATCCCTTTTGGAACAAATGGACAAGATGACAGAACATACCAGTTGTTTTATGTTTCCATTTTCCTACCTTATTGAGAATACACTGAAAAGTTTCTCCTTGCATCTTATTAAGAGACAGACTGTGACCGAAGCCCAGCACGGCCAGGTGTGCACATCCCAGCAGTGCTGACAGGATCTGCCCAGGTGTGCTTGGCCCAGATGTGGAGGCTGAAGAGGCATTGGCACAGAGCTCCTTCTCTCACAGGGAGCCCAGCACTGTGGCACTGGGTGAATTCTGACCTCTGCCCAGGAGTGAGCCACAGAGGGGATAAAGGGATGCTGAGATCCTGCATCCTCTCCTGTGGGACCAGGACAGGGTGGCACTCATGCTGGCACACCTGGGCTCCAACCACGCCAGGATTTAGACACAGGGCACGGTCAGCATCATGGCCTCAGCATTATCATTTGTTTCTTTCATTCTGTCAGTGCTCACACTTGTTGACCTTTCAATCACTGTTACCCTCTCTATCCTCATCGTGGCTTTCAGGGAGGACAGCAGGTTTATTACAGGGCAATTGGGAGTGTTCTCAGCAGAGTCATTGTCCAAGGGTAGTTCCTGAATCACTGTTCCTGATCAAACAGGATCACAGAGCTAGGACTCGGGTTAAGTGGCCTTCCTACTCCTGGAATGCTGAAGGCCAGACAGGCACATTAGCAGAGCTCTGTGTACGATGGGCTGCAGCTGGGGCAAACATCAGGCTCAACACAGTTACACTGAAATGGGAAAAGCTGAAGCAGTGTTTGTGTTTTCTGAGGAGGGTGGAAGGCAAATGATGTAAGGAACAGTGCTAAACTTGGGTGAGGGTCTGCTCAGGGCAGGATTTTATATTTACAAGCTACCACCTTCCTAATATAAAAAGGTGTATTTTTCAGTACTATGCAGTGCTGAAGTCCTAGCACTGGAACGCAGCAGTTCCATCCTTCAAACCAAAGCTGCAGATGATCTCAGCTTAAGACAGGTCTGATTTAAATCCATCCAGACCTGTTTCTGGCCAGTGCAAAACACAGACTCTAGCTAGAAGAGTTTTGGGATTTTTTGTTTTTAATTGTGTGAAGAGGTGCCAGGCACTAAAGCTGCCCTGCATTTCCACGATACACAGCAAACAAACAGCTAAGGTCTCTTCCAAAACCTGTCTGAAGGCTAATGCTGTGCCCACAGCCAGCCCTGCCCTTTCAGCACCCAGACAGCAGCCGGAGCTGCCCCAGCCCTCCTGCAAGGTGCCAGCTGCTGCCAGGAGCTGCTGTCACTCTGCAGGAACACACAGACACAAAGGGGGACCTGCACCTTTAAAGTTCTTCAGCATTAAATCAGTGATGCAGAGCTGCAATAATATCAAGCTATTCTGCCAACAGAGTCCTGGAGATACAGACCCAAACCAGCAAAGCTGATTAGTAGTGAGAGAGCTCCTCGCATGCTCCTCCAAAACACAATTAAAAGAGTTTTATTCTGAGTAACAAGAGGGTTAGAGGGTCACAAGAGTTTCCATTTCAAAAGGCAGCAGGATACAAGCTAGCAGGAAGAGGAAAGCAAATTGCCCAGATTTTGTGCTAGAAATACGTGGGTATTTAAGCTGCTGCTGCTGGGCTTCAATTTCTCACCAAAATTTTATCCCATCTCTCCTAAGGAAAATAGGAAAATCAGTACAAAGACAAACCTTTTCAATATTGTGATGGCAATAACCCTGCTTCCACCTGCAGCAAGTACAGGTTCTTTCACCCTGCTTCAACTTTGGGCTTCCCCATCGAGTCTTACAAAGAACCAATAAAATCCTTTTAACTTTCTCCATTTTAAAGTTTATTATTATTAGAACAGAAAAAAGGAGATTTAAAAATTGTAGAGGAACCTCCAGCAAACAGTCTCTTACCCAGCACTGGCTTTAAGGAGCTAAAAATGCAGTCTCCCAAACATACAGAAATAGTGTCCAGTGTCTGGCAGCCTGCAGCTCCCATGGCTCTCTCTGTGGCCAGTCTGGCTGCAGCAGCTGCCTTCCTGCAGGCTCCATGCAAGACTGCTGATAGGAGATCTTCTACCTACCTATTTGAACTGAATCCATGCGCAGCATTTCTGTGAAGTGAATGCAGCAGAGATGACAAAAACTATCTAGATTTCCTTGTCTAGAGCCTAGAGGAGCAGAGCTGTTGGATTTCACAGAAACCAGCCAATACCAAATAATAAAAAAAAATCTTAAACATCAGTGAAAGCAGTGTGGAAGGTGACTTCACTTAAATCTGAATGGTGGACAGATCTCGCATTGTTGACCCGATTTGGGATTTCCAGAAGTTACTTGGCTTTCCTCAGGTCAGCGTGGCCTTGTCACCAGCTCTCTGAGGACACAGGGGGGATCTTTCCTCAGGCCCTGCCAAAGCAAAGGGCTGCTCGCTCACTCCGGGCTTTTCTGCCAACATCAAGGTAGCAGCACAGAACTGATTTACTCCACAGGTTCTCCAGATACACCCAGAGAAATAAAACAACTCTTTTCTGAATAAATCAGTTTCCAAACATTTGTTGCGTTATGGGAACCCAAAGAAATAATAAAAATTCTAAGATGAAGATTACAGTTTTGTGGGAAAAAAAGACAAACTGCATTGGAATCTTGCATTCAAGCTTTTCTGCTCATTCCCTCTCCTGACCCCACATGCCACGGAAAAGCTTTAGGAGCACAACTTGAAGGATGCTCATGTGCTTTTATAGTCAGTAATAATAGTTTTGTACATAATTAAGCCTTTTCTGCTTTATGAAAAGCCTTTTTCTTCATAAAGAAATATAGCCTAGGTAATAGTAATCAGACCTGTCCATGAAAAAAAAAAAAAAAGGGACAAGTATTACAATGGCTGCAGAAAATCCTGCATATCTCCAGAGTAGGAACAATAGGACAATTCAGTGTCAGGCACTGCTGAATTTTCTAATCAGATAAAACCTTATGCAGTTACATCATTGCAATTCATTCATTTAGCAGCAGGAAGGTGAAACCTGGGATATGTTTGCTCAGAAAAAAGGGGTTTTATTTTTCCTTTTTATAACAACATTAAATTGTCTTTGTTCCTAAACTCCTCAATCTACCTACACATTCAAAACTACAAACGGGTAATTCTATATACTTGCATAAATAATATTATATGGAAGGCATCTTATTGCTTTCTATATTGTATATATTTAATGTACATTATTCTATTGCAGAAACTTTTATTGAGTAATTTTTATACCACAGCATTATCTGATCCTCTGCTGTTTAGGATTAGCACTGCAAATATTCTAAAAGCCAAGCTGAAGCTGTTAGTGAGAGTACAGGGTCCTTACACTTGGTTAATAAACAAATGTTAACGAACACATCGATGCAGCATTAATTGCTCACCTCACTGTGCACAGAATCATACATTCTTGTTCCTGCAGCCAGGAAGAGTTCACTCCCTGAATTTGGATGTCTCAGGTCCAAATGCTCATCTGTTTTCTGAGAAAGCAACGGAATTTAACTGGGCTCCAGTTTTTGCCTGTGCTATGATTGGACACTAGTGGTGGTGAGGCTCCCAGCCCTGTGTTGCTGTTAATGCTGTCAATTGCAGCTCCCAGTGATGCTGGCACCCTCCAGCCCTGGTGACCCGGGGGCGCCGTGGTCACAGCCCCCTGCCCAAGCTCCTGTCCCCATGTCTGCTCTCTGCAGAACCGCCTCCCACTGCTGAAGCTGCCTTCTAGACATCTCTGCAGTGTGCCTCAGGGCACTGCTTACTGCTCTGTAAAACCCGGGTTCAAGGAACACCTCACATTCACAGTGACTGGGGGATGCTGACTCAGACAAAACCAGTAGTGTTGCCACAGTGAAATCCTGTATGGACAATACTGCTTGGCCTCAACACTATTTTCATATACATTAAATGTATTATTTTACATGTATTGTTAAACATCACTTCATGTAATCTTTCTCAAAATGCAGAACACATGAATCTGTGTGCTGTTCTTTAAAGAACTGGCCTCCTAAAGCAAAGTTCCATGTCAGTAACAGCTGTGAGCCTGTATCCACACTACAAAACCGTGTCATTCTCAGCTGAGGCTGCAAACCCCCATCACTCTGAGCCCACCCAACCCACACATTCTGCTGCCTCCCGGTGCCACAGCAGTGCCAGAGCACAGCTGAGCTCCGGTGTCGGCCTTTGTTCCCGATTTCCTGCAATTCCTCAGCCAAGGTGAGGTGACCCAGGGCTTTTGTACTCCATTTCACAGAGCCTTGCCCTACCTCCCATTCTGCAGCCTGCAACGATTGCTTTCCACGTCCTCCCTCCTCAGCCTGGCCCTTGGGAAAGAAGCAAAACGTTTACAAGGGACAGACTGGGCACGCTGCGCCTTGCTGAGGGTTTGGCTGCAGCATTTCTGCTTCCAGTCTAACCATCATCAACGATCTCTAGACATTTCCATTTTTAATCATCCCAAATCAGCTTGTTTTTCAGCCCATCTAGTTGAGACCCCCTCACCCAGAGGATGTCAGCAGGGCAACGTGCTGGTTTTCACCCAGAGAGCAGAGCCCGTGATAAATAACACTCAGAGCTCTGTGAGGATGAGTGTCCTCTACAGCTCACAGCCCACAGGCTTCATTATTGCATCGCCCATAATTCAATTCACCCTTCCTAAAAGGTCTCTTGCTGCACCCAACCCCCACCTCTGAAAACACGTCCCACTAATAATTCCCGATTAATGCCGTCAATTACCAACTCTCCCCCAGCCCCTCTCCATCCCCTGATTGGTTTGGAATGGAAGGGAAGCAGCATCTAACTGGGGAGGAATAGAAGTAGGGTAAAATAGCAATAAAAAGTAATTACATAAAAATGCTAAACATATTACATCTGTTAGTTTGCTGAGCCCAGTGGGCTTGACAATTCCAGATTTTTGCCTTTGTCCGTGCTCAGACAGACAAGAATAAGAGAAACCGGGAAAGGATCTTTCAATAAGATTATTAAATCAGTGCATGAAAAATAAGTCGTCATTACATTGCAAAAGGGAGAGAGAAACTCGCTGAAATGTCTTTCTGCAGCTTTGCCTTTGTGATCTGCAAGGTGCTGTGCTCCTGCTTACACTCTGTTGCCCTGGCAACATACTCCTGTAAAATAAAGATTATTAAAGCGCATATGATTATTTGGCCGCACAGTGAATGAGGCAGCCGCTTCTGAAATTCCTTATCAGAGAAATTCAATTTTAGGCCAAATTGTGTTTTCACTGCCTCTCAGCTTCTCCCTCCCCCCCTGCAATACCAATAAAACCATCATCTCCCCAGCTGTACATGATATTTTGTCACTAACTCTTTCACGCCTTTCCTTTCCTATTCCGGGTTTTATTTTTACTCTGTCAAAGGAGAATGCTCTCCCCAATTTGTAAGCTTTTATACCTGACAGTTTTTTTCTGGCAGCTTCAGCCTTTTCTCCCCTGCAGCAGGCAGCCCACGGCG